GGAAAGGAACAAAGTTAACACTTCGCTAAGTAGTTTACTATTAAACCATAAGCCGGAACGAGCAGGTCGTTGGGAATTTACATGATTAGACGGCGATAAGGCAGCGCGGATCCATTGATTCGCGTGGCGAAACGTGGAACAATCGAACGTGATCACGCAGCTGTTATCCGCCGTTCGTTTCACCACTGTGCTGACGTACCGTTTTCGAATTTCATACAAAGCTCCACGAGGATATCTCGTTGGTGCACAGTCAATGCAACGGCAGCCGGCTTTGTTCAGTCAACGAACTGCTACGCGAATCCGATAACACGGCAGCAGTCGTCTTGCCACGAACTGGTCCAGTCTGATGCATCGGACAAAGCCGACACCGGCACACATCGCGGCGACGAAGGTCGAAGGAACACGATTATAAGACCCGGTAGAAAAATCCACGTCTAGTTCATCACACCGCACTCGTGCAGGTCAACTCGGTTTGCTCGGCTCGCGAACAAACTCGTCCACCACTCCACCACCTGCACCCTCTGCCAACACCACTACTACCCACGAGGTGTCTTCATCTCGCGATCGCTCCTCTCCTGCCGTCACTGCTACTCCCAGAAGACAGAGGACTATCTCACAACGACGCGTTACCGATCGCGATCGCGGCGACGACAACTCGACGACCGTGCGATCGTGCAATTGGCAGCGACATCGGAAGCGGAAGACTCAACGACGACGACGACGACGAGTGAGAGAGAGGGAGAGAGAGAGAGAGAGAGAGAGAGAGAGGAAGAAAAAAGGAGAGAAGAAAAAGAAAAGAAGCGGAACTCGGGAACCGATCGCAAACGTACGCGCGAGATCACCGCGCTATGACCGAGCAACCAACCGACCGACTGACTGACCAAACCCGATCCGACGACCAATCCCAGGGACGACCCGCACCCTCCGTGTGCGCGATCGGCAGTCTGTCCCGGGCTCTACTGATGGCCAACCGCGCGACCTCCATGGAGGTGGCGGTGCTGGTGCTGCTGCTGCTGCTGGCTGCTGCTGCTGCCGTCGGTGGTGGTGGAGGCGGTGGTGGTGGTAGCAGTGGAGGTGGAGGATGGTCCGGCACTTGAGGAAGCCGGGCCATCCACGGCGCCGACGCCTGGTTTCGTACCGACCACCAGTCCGGTCGATAACGCCACGGCAACCCCCGGGTCGTTCCGGCTCTCCTCCTCCTCTCTCCACGCTTTTCTCCCTCTTTTCTACCTCTTTTCTACCTCTTTTCTCCCTCTTTTCTCCCTCTTTTCTCCCTCTTTTCTCCCTCTTTTCTCCCTCTTTCCACTCTCTCCCACCTTCGCCACTGCTCTTCTGCTCAATTTTCTCCCTCTTCCGCTTCTCCCATTTCTTCGCCATCCTCCACCCCCTTGCTTTCCCTCTTTC